GTATATTAAAGGATTGAAAAGGCAGAAATTGAAGGATATACACAGAATATTGGGTCTACACTGGCAGTATATGAATGATTGTATGGTAACTGGAACTGCCAGCTGATACCCAGAATGTTTTTCTCTTTTTCTCCAACTTGGACTCTATGATTCTCCCCTGCGTGCGGGCAGAGGAGGTCTGGAGCATGAGAAGTTTGAATGTAGACTGGAAGAAGGTATCCTGCCTTTTCCTGGATACTGTTAAGAAGGCCCCGAGCCACCACTGACTGTAAGGGACAGACACATAAAAATACTTCAATAACACTGAAATGACCTCGTCTTACAGGTTTGACCCGGAACCCTACAGTAGAAAATCTGCACCAAAGCTAAATAGTCTGTTATTGATGGGGTATTTCATATGGCTTTTGGAATTATCTCTCCAACCACTGTATTTGTTTTATTTTAAAGTTTGCCTAAATAGGTGCAGCAATTATGGATTTTGTTTTAGTGATGATTTTTGGTGTGTATTCTTTCCTCCTTCATCTACTCATGTTTAGCTATCCCTTCTCCAAATTTAATCAGGGTTTGGTTAAGAGAGGGTTAGGGTTGAAATATGCTTGGGCAGAGATATGCTCAATACATAACCTTGTGTAGGGACACAAGCATGGGGTAAACACAGATTGTATGCGTGCTAATATTCACACCTTTAAAATGATATGTGTCTGTGGTCCTGTGCATCCAACAAAATGAACGCTGGCTGTAGGAAGGATTCCCAGTCGCGGTCAATGAATTGTGTTCTTACAGACACAAGTGGCTAAATAATTATCAACATAGCTTTCCATTCTGGGTTCTCTTGTTAAATTACTTCTATATATTAGGTCAGAGTGCTTAAGTACAGCATGTCAGGGTGTTGCTAACATTTCTAATGTATTCATAAATCCTTACCTTCCCAACACCAGTGTCGCCAGTGAAGAGCACAGAACGTCGCACAGATAGCAGTTTCTCCATCAGGTAGCCGTAGCGGACAGTGTCTGTGGTGGGGACTAGCATCTCAAAAAAGGGCTGCTCCCTGTTGTATTTAAATGAAGGGATTATGTTCTCCCATGGCACCAGATGCTTGTGGTTAAAGTTCATGTACACACTCCACAGGGTACCACACTTGGGGAGCTACAGAGCACAGATGAAAATACATACAAACACTGGGTAAATATAGTGTAATGAATTCCACAAAAGTGCCTGCATTAGAGTTTGTCATTAACTGTAAAGCCTCCTTAGATTCAGGCATTAAAGAAACTCATTTTACTCTATTTTTGATCGCAGATTCTGGTTGATGTGTACATTGGAAGTTTCCCTGTGGCATGTTGAATTAGTAGTGTGTGTCTGCCATTATTTGTTTCCCTGAATACTGCTGTTACTTGTGTGGTGTATGTATGTATGTATGTGTGTGTGTGTGGTGTGTGTGTGTGTGTGCGCAGTTCTGTGTTCCCTCAAGCTTCACAGCTGGGAGGTGGCTGCACTGGCTTCACCTCATGGTAAACACAAAAACGTACACAGACAGTTCTCTGATATAAATAACATTAAAATTCACAAATACACACAAAAACAACATCAGCTCCGTATGCACAGACAGATGAACAGATGTGGAAGCATGTGGGATGTTCCAGATGATACTCTGCAGTCTTCATAAATCTTGCATGCTCACTCCACCGTCACCTTCAGGTGAATGAGTCATGTTCCTGCCCTACTGTGCTCTGCCTCTGTCAGTAAGACATCCCCACAATCATCTTCCACTACTGCCAGCCAAGACAAACCTCTCAAACAATTTACTTTCCATTTCCTGGTAGACTGAAGGACTAATAATATTATCCACCCCTTTTCTTCATCCTTCTCTCTGCACTTCATTCTTTACAAATAAAAATGTTTTCCTCCATTCTATAACGGCTGTTTCACAATAATGGTATGCAATGGACTTTTATAGCCCCGTCACAAAGCTCATCCTTTGATCTGATTCACCATACATTCCTTCTATATACTGTCAATGCTTGTAACCCACTGAAGGTATTGCTCTTTCTTAATGTCTTAATTTCACATGAGTGACTCTCATAGAGAAGAATCCTCTTTGAGATTAGCTGTGCTCCAGCTAGAAACACCCCGTGTCAAGAGTACTTTGAAGTAATATACAATATGAGCTAACCTCCAGGCCTTTTCACATATTTCATGCTAATACCAGCAAATGCGTTGGTAAATGGATTTGACTCTCAGTAATACAGATAAGGGATAAAAAATGACTTGAGTGGCAGAGAAGAGTGTTAACAGCAACACTGGACATGTGAGACAGAGTTGTCACATTTTTTGTCTTTATACAAACTTTTATACAACACTTTGTATAGTGCAACAAAACTTAATCTATCTCTGTATGTATCTATGGGTGTGTGCATGTAAGTATAAACCTTAGCATTGCTGTTGTCTTCAAACTGCTCCCTTACGAAGGTGTCGAAAGCATCCCAGTGAGAACAGGTCAGGTTGCCGCCTACTGCCCACAGGTAGCAAAACAGGAAGGTCTGACATAATACACTGTTGAGGTACTTGGAATCCTGACACCAACACACACACACACACACACCCACCAACACACACACGACCAGCGCACAGCACCACACCACACACACAAGCATAAAGGGAGAAGAAGCTCAGTAAGTAATGTCATGGTTCAAAATGAATATACATTTTATTAATTTATTTTAAGCCCCATAATAAACCATTCCATGTGTGACACTATAGCCGGAACTGCAATAGAATAAAGTGACTGTTCCTGTGATTACCATTTTGAGGTCAGGCCCTCCTTCGCCCAGCAGCAGTGCCTCTAGCAGGGAGCAAAGAGTGGCGACTTTACTGATGTCCACTTGGCGAATTGCCTGGGTGCAATGCTTCAACACGAACTGAAGACCCTTCTCCACATACTGCTCAAACAGCTCCAGCAGGTATGTTCGCACTGGGTCTGGGAGCTAGAGAGACAGCACAGAGCAAAGGAAGAGAGAGGGTTGAAGACAGCAGAAGGTAAGGGTATGCAGTAATCTTTAGGAGGTGTAACCTAGTTAGTTCAAAATAGTTATATTGCTCGAGTTCCTTGCCAAAAGTTGGATGACAAAAGCGATACCACTCTCATATCAGTCCACTACTGACAGTTAGCTTAGATTATCATAAAAGATAGGAATCAAAGGGGGCAACAGCTATCCTGGCTATGAGCAAAGGTAAAAGAAAATCCACCTTCCAACACTTTTAATGCTCACTTACTTTGCTTCCCGTTTCCAGTCATTATGCTAAACTAAGCTAACTGTCTGAGTGTAGCTTCCTATGAGATATATAAGAGTGGTATTAATCTTCTCATCTAACTGTCAGCAGGGAAGGGAATAAGCTTATTTTTCCAAATGTCAAACTATTCCTTAAACTAGGTGTGTGAGTAGGGGAAGACAAAGAATTAGAATTAGTGTGGGCAATGCTCCCCTGTCCTCAAGAGACACAGAGAGACAGACTCCCTCGGCTAAAATAGCTTAGTGGAAATCGATACAAAATTAATTAAAAACTGTAATAAGCTCTAATAAGCTCCAACTCTAACAACTCCACAAATTTGAAAGTTTAATCAAAGTTATCCCAGACAAGGCAGAATGCAACAATTGAACCAAGAAAAGAAAGTCCCTTCCAAAAAGAATGTTGCTTGTTAAAAACTGACTGAAGTAGCTTCATGGAGACACTGAAATACCCAAGAGTGGAGAAAAAATAGAATGTAGAGACAAAGAGGGCAAGCAGCAAACAAATTAAAGATTATCACATAAATACACTGTCAACAAACAGAATAGTCGATTAGACAGAGAGATACACAACGAGAGAGAGAGTTAAAAATTGAGGGAAGAGATGTCCCACTCTCACTGCAGTGTTAAGTCACCCTAAGCGGCTCAGGACTGATGTTGTAAGCTAAAGAATTTGTATGTGATGTACTGTCATGAACGTTTGTGCTGATGCTGAAGTTCTCCTGCTTGTAATGCCTGACAAGGCAGATTACAGATAATGTAAAAGCACGCAAACAGGAACACAAAGTCACCTTTTTACACATAAAGAACAATGACAGTTCAAACAATAGTAGTCAGTGATATAAAGTATGGGGAAGTGTGTTTGAATGATGCCCACATATTGAACTGTAATCAAGGGTGCAGAACTATGCTCTGAGAGAGAAAGTGGTACAATTAATGTAACAGCTTACATATACTGTATGTACTAACACTGACCGGTGGGACCACCTGTCAGATAAAAAAGTACTCATATAAACATGCAGGACTGCTTTAGAAGCAGCTATGTGAAAAGCTTCAAGCATAGTTAGAGTAGCATTTTGCAATTTCAAAAGCTGTCTGAACAGAGATAAAATATGTACAACCTTGGCTCCAAGACCACTGATCCATGTCTGGACATAGGCATGCCACCTTGAGCCATCTGGGTCAAGTATATACCATCCCACACGCGACTGACGTGGGCTGGAGATGCTACAGCAATCCTGGAACCTGAAAAAACAGTTTATGTAAGGAGATTAAATAAGCTGATCTAAGAGCAGAAGATCCATGAAATCATGTAAGTATATTAGATTACATTTACTTTATTAAGCCTCCCAACGGGGAAATTCACTTTCACAGCAGCATTTGAGTGAAAAATAAAGAACTAAACTTAAAACTCCTACTTTCACTGTGTTCTAACGCTCAAACACCCATAATGTATGGATGGAGTTAGTTGTGATTCGATCTGCTGTTGGCAAGACAGAAGCATCTGTTGTCATCCAGCACTGTGTTCATGTTTCAAATCACAAGGGGCATCAACTGGCCCATTCACAGATCAACTCCACTTGTTGTCGTCACTGGTGTCGCTGACTCATCACGGACAACCTCAGTGCCATCAGTGCCGTCACGCCACTCAAGGGTTAATTGTTAACCCTGAGGAGTTTGAGTAAATACATCAATGGAAGTGGGAGAGAAAACGAAAGAAGCTGTTGCATAATTTAATTCTCCTGTCTACAGTACCTCTCCGTAGAGCTCTGTCCCCCATTGTGACCAGATTTTGGGTTAAGGACATAGGCTTGACAGGTTGATAGAAGGGGTTCTTAGCCTTGTGGCCCTGTGTGAATGGAGGGTCTCCCATTGTGTCTGCCAGGATGTGTAGACCAGTGGTCTTACTCCACCAGTAGGCCCTACCAACATAACACCATGACGCACTAACATGGTCTCATACAGCTGGATCACCTGGTTGAACAAAAAGAAGTGGAAAGGAGAAGAATGAGGGCATGTTTAGAGGATGGGCCTGTTTTACAAACCAAACCAACTGCATACAAGTTTACTACTATATCAAAGTGACACAAACACAAAGCATCTAAATTCTACTCACCTCCATTATATTGTGGTGGCTGCAGAAATCTCAAAACGTGAGCAAGTAAAACTAAAATGTCTGCATGGCTAGATACCACTAGAGATACAGTAATGAAAAATTGTGTATTCCTGTAATTTGGGTGAACCAACTATACTCCCCAATGCTCCTATGTGTAATTTGAATTTCTCCTACGGGTGATTAATAAAGGTATATCTTATCTTATCTTTAAAAGATAAGGCTGGAAATATTCTAGAATTTGTATTATTGTCAACCTATCTGATGAATATATAAAGACAACAATGAATTGACCCTGTTAACAACTATTGTCCAAAAGCTATTATAAAGCATAAATGACATGGCAAATGGACTACATCTATATAGTGTTTTCTAATTTGCCTCTCATTAGCTTCCCCAAAATCATAACTGAAAAAAATAAGACTTCACCAGCTACCTCACGTATCTATAGTGTTGTAAGCATCACACTACACTAATCTGAGTTTGGTAGGAGATCCGTCAGTACCCAAATATTGGTATAATGTGTAACGATCAGTAGGGAAGCTTTACCCTGTCACAACGTCATTCACGTCAGCACGTTTCCGCAGTGTAAAATTAGTAAGCCAAATAAGTTGGGAAATTATGGATGGATTTGTTTTCAAATGCCGTTGGACAGAAGAGGTGTTGGATAACAACTTTTTTTAAACAACAATGGCAGATTTTGCTCCTCTGAAAACGTCCATGGTGAGTTTAAATATATTTTTAATTACCTAATTTGGAAACTGTGCTGGTGCTGACTTTGTTGTGTTATGTGTGGCCTTGGCTGTCTCAGGCACTCACTTGCTTAGGTCTTTTAAGAAGCCTATTTGATCTGCTGCTGATGTGTTTTGACTCTTAAGTTGTTGTGGTCTGGGCAGACTAACGTGCTGTTTTAGGACAATTTAGGAAAATGTGCCGTGTTTTTTTGGATGTTGTGTGTCAAGTTTGTCTGGGTCCATCCTGGTCTATATTGGGCACCTACGGTATATAACATTATATGGGCTTACACTTGTATATTGCTTATCTGTAACACACCTGTAATAGCCTATGTTAGTCGTTGTGGTTCATTATCATTATCATTATTTAAATTTTTTAACTTGCTATGAATATTGGCTCTGTGTTAGCAAAATAAAAAAGGTAATAATTATGGTAATGTATATCTCTGCCACATCTTAGTGAGACATGCAAGCAAAACAAAACAATAACAAAATCTCTGACTGGTGAATGCAAATTGAGCTCAGGATAAATGAATGTAAATTTGTGTGAAGAATGATAATTGGAAATTTGATTGCAACTTAGAGTCAAATGCTCACAGTTGAGCATAGTTCATGAAGTTGTATTTTATTTGTCATCGGGCTTGACAATGAGATGATAGGAGAGGGAAGTAGAAAAGTACTGAGGGATGGACTAACACATCGTTTGTTTTGTCTTTTCATGGGAAATAAAATTAAGAATACCAGCGTCAAAATGTATATATTACATGCAAACTGTTTTACAAAGGTAAAATACTCATAAGGAAATAATTCAATCAATTAAAAACAAATAAAGAAACATCACTTCTGCCCCTTGTACCTTCTTGGTCATGGTAGCCAAAGGCTGCAGATTTCGCTTAACCAGAGACTCCAGGATGGTGGAGTGTAGCACACCATAGTCATGCTCGGGGATACATACACCAGGGAAGAGGTCTGATAGGATACCACTGGAGGGGGATTGGCATTATACATACATTATTCATATATACACACACAATAGAAATGTAACAATATAAAAAACAACACAATTTTCTCATTGAAACTTAACCTTTTTGTGAAAATGTCTGATAGGCTTACCCAAACAGCACAGCATCATCCACAAGGAACTTTGGCAGGTTGGAATCCCTCAGGGCTCTGATAAGAACCACATCCTCACTGAGTTGGGGGTTATCTCTCTTTAGAGACCTAAAAAAACAAACAATATCATTACATTACACATTATGTCTTTGTTATACATCAAGCATTGATAATGCTCATAGTTCATTATATAAAACCTACACAATATGACAAGCTATATTTTATTGGTAGCAGTTCTGCAGCTTGTTGCAACTCTCTTGGTCATGCTGCAGAACAGTCCTTGGTTTCAGTTTACATGTTACATATTAACAACTGTCTCAATTAACTAATCAGCGTCTTAAAAAATGCACTAACTTATCCAAGATCAATCAACACTCTTTACATCCATGTCCAACATAATTCGACAACTTGACTGAACTGAAAGCACAGAAATCTCTTCCGAAGACACTGGTGCATTCATTGAAATAGATATTAACAATATGGGGAACTGAATGTTATAATGTGCAAATTAATTAGTGGAAAATAGACTCATTACAAATACAGATGTGATACAGATAATAAGCAGCCGATATGAGCTGAGAATTCAATACTGCACAACCTTAATGGCACACAAAGGCTGGCTCAATTATAAAAAACAAAGTAAAAAACATTAGAGTGAGGGGGAGATAATGAATGTGTGCTTAGTGTGGAACGAGCAGACTCAGAGAAGTAATATCTATGCAGAGACAGACAATGAATCACAAGCCAATTACAACAGCTCCCTGAGCTTCAGCTAATGACCAACAGGCGAAAGCATGACTTTCACTACATATGGTCAAGAACATCCATTCAACCCATGCAGAACAGGAACAACTATTTTTGTCTACAAATCTTTGTCTCCCTAATGTTGGTCTTCATCTCTTCATGTGTCTCAACGATAATTAATTTGAGGTATGATGTGCATTTGAGTGAAGGAATTTTACAGAAAGTGAAACTTATTAAGTGCTTATTTTCTTTTACCAACAGCAAGAAATAATGAGGTGAATTCAACAGTGAGAGGCTCTTACCCTCTAATCTGAATAATCACTGGAACAGTATTAGATTTTTTTAGGCTTTTGCATTGAATTAAAAAAAATTTACGTACGAAGCATGACAATCTAACTCACTGATGATCCTCTGTCATGAACTAAAATATGAAAACGGTGTGCTGATTGGCAACATATTCATTTAACATCAACAACCTTTCACAGAACATTCTGTACATGGATGATAACATGGACGATTGTCACAAGTCACAATGTGCTTCTGGTTCTTCTATAACTCAATGCACATGTGTGTTAGCGTGTGTACGAGTGTGTTAGTGTGTGTATGAGTGTGATGCTCTAACCCAGCCATGACCAGGACAGACTTGACTGCTCTCATGCCAAAGTCATAGTGGTCCTGCTGGGACAGCTGCTCAGAGCAGAGCTTGTACATCTGGGTCATTTTCCTCGCTAGGGTCTTACTGGACTCGAATCCCTCTGAGTACAAAATCACCTAGAGGGAGGGATACAGGGGAATTATGGGGGTTATGTAGAGAAAATAAGCAAGCATATACAACAAGACACACGCAGATGGCCTGTTACCTCAGCAATTAGGGCGTAGTTTGGCACCATCATGGCTATGGGTCTAAAGAGAGCTTTAAGGTTGTCAGGTAGCTCCGTTCGTCCAGCGTAGCCCGGGTTCATGGTGATGAATGCAGCACACGTCATCACCAGCTTGATCTCCTGGCCCTCAAATCGAAACCTTGACAGCTGCATAACACAGAATTGAGAGAGATGCTCTTTATGTACGTGTGTGGCAGTGACTTATGGACCTAATTAATTTCAAATTTATGTAATCTGTTCTGATGATGGTCTTTCTGTATCTCCTCTATATGGAAAATAGAGTAATGCTACAGCAGAGTACTAACTGCTTTTTCTCAATACATAACTATACATACATAGAGAAAAGAGGTGAAGCTAGAAAAATCATTTTACAGTCACAAAGTATGATAGCAGACTGTCATCTAATTGGTACAGTTCAATCAAGAGTGTAATCCTCACGTGATTGACTCTTGAATGCCCCTCACTTGGCGTTACTTAAAATATTAGACTACTAGAGCAACGTCTTTAACTCTTCTCCACATATAGTATGCAAGGTGTATATGGCAAAGTGTGTGCACTGTGAGAACAATGAAGTGGTATATATATGTGTGCGGGTGTACCTTAGCGGCCTTGGCATTTCTTATGGTTATGAGCTGCTGAGCGATGACAGACAACACTTCAATGTCGATTCGGTTAAATTCATCAAAACAACACCAAGCACCCGACTGTGCAAGCCCACTGAAGAAGCGCCCCATCATCTGGAAGAGAGAAGTGTTATTAGTGTGTTAGTGTGATATCTAAAGTTTTGGGTGTTTATTTATATTTTTATTTTTTAATTATTGATTCATAAAGTGAGAATATTAAGGGCATTTGCGACTGTCACAGTAATCCTGGTTTCCTGGTTACATATATTCTCACCCTGCCTTAACTGTATAGATGAAGACAATTGCCTATATACAGTACACAAGGTATTAACATGACTTATGGACAAAGAGAGATCTGAGAGTAAAATATGTAACTAAAGTCAAAGTCTATACCATATCTAAAATTCCAATAATAATTACACATGTAAGAGACCATTGTGATTTTGAAATGTGAAATATTAATATTTTTTATCTGAAGGCAGCCATGTTTGCTTATGAACACAATGTATATATTTGCAGCACAGCTGTTAATGTCTCATGGACAGTGGAATTTAAATTAAATTAAATGTTACAGTTAAATGTTGCTCAGCCACAGTGGAGCAGAGCTGAACAAAGCGTTGACACATAAAACCAAAGAGTGCTGTGATTCTAGCCTGGCTTAACCAAAGTACTGTCCAACTCTAATACACAGGTGTCTGCTACCAATAACTAACTACAGCAGACATCAAGAGAATGGCTTTCCAGCTGCCTTGTAAGTGTGTGCTGACTCTAGCCTCAGTGCACTGCAAGACAAAATACTGTTTAACATTAAATTGAAATGTAGAGTTTGTCTCAAGGTTATAGGCCCAATCTAAAGTTTGGGGGCATATAAAATACAAATATTTTCTTATATATATGCTGTTAGTTATTACTTATAGATGAAATAAGAGCATTGTTTGTTTTTCACCTGAATAAAACACATTTTATCAGCCAGATACAGTATGATACTAATTATCACACTAACATACAAACAGTTACTGATGGGGCAGACAAACATTACAGAAGATTACTAAAAGAACATATAGGAAAAGATCAAATCTGCCTTTTGTTTTAGTAGCACACAACTATTGTCAAGGCTCTGTGCAGTGTATCTGTGCTTCAACTGGCACAGGACAGAAGGCTTGACTGCTTTAGCAATAGTGCCATCTAATGGATTCACTGAGTATGTACACTCAGAGTGAGACAGCTAATTCAACTAGTGCAGTGGCAGTGCAAGGTAATGGGAACAAAAACAGTATAAGTGCTGAATCAAGTGTAGGTGAAGAACTGCAGGGAATAAATGAAGGAACAGGTAATTATGAACCAAGTGGACAAATAAGTAACAGAAAGTGTAATGAAGGAGCACACAAACGTTCAGGTGTGGGTTTCAGATTAATACAGTTTGTTATGGCTGACCTTGTAGTCAAGTCCATCAGAGCAGTTGAAGACCACACACTGTATGGCCAGGGCCTTAGCCAAGTCCTTGGTGGTCTCCGTTTTTCCCGTCCCTGCTGGCCCAGCTGGAGCTCCTCCGAGGTCTAACTGGAGAGCCCCCATCAGACACAAATAGCAACGGTCCTACATATCAGGGAGGGGTGAGAGATATGGGACAGTTTGACCAACAGTGACTGTTTGAACAAAACAAAACAATCAAGATAACAGATCACACAATATACAGGTCTGTAGGCTTACAAGTTATCTGAATAAAGGAATGTGATATTAATAAAGCTCTGCCACTAGGGGAAACTTGTAAAACTAAGGATAAAACATGTAGTCCCAGTCTGATCTCACTGTAATTGCATTCAACATTAAGCATAGAAAGATTTCTGTGTTACACATGTTACATGTGGATCTGAGCATTCATGTGTGTGTTACCGTGAGCGGTGTGATAACCAGTCTAGGACAGGCTCCCAGGTATTCATAGCCGTAAATGTAAGTAGAGAGAGCCATTTTGGCTACGCAGTTGTCCAAGTCCAGGTCCCAGTAGTAGCGTAGCTGTCTCTGCCATTCAAAGTTAGACCTGGCGTCCACCTGAAAAAGAGGGCTGAAGTTACTTTAAGGTGGTGAGTTGTTTGTTTTCGGATCACCTGAAAATCCCCAGTCAATACCTGCACCTATAATACCAAGCCAAAAGCACACATAGATAGAAGCTGCTTGATGGTGTTTTTTGTTTGTTTGCACTACTGTACAAACACTGCACTATTGTACCTTCTGGCATACTAGATCTGTAACAATGTCTCTGGCATGGACATCAATGGTGATAAGGGCAGTGATGATATTACGGTGTAAAGTAGGCAGCTGTCCTCGTACCAATGCCGCCAGGGCATTCAGTCTCTGGAAAACACACAAATACATGCACAAACACAACCATTATTTGGGTTATAAAGTTCAAGTCCAAAAAGTCAAAAACAGAGTCATTAGTGTGATTTACATCAAAGTTTGTTAGTTCAAATTTCTGCAGGGCAGCAAAGTGGTCGTGGTCTCCCTCCAGGCAGGCATCCATTTCCCTGCACCACATCATCTGAGAGATGGTCAGCACCACCTGGTGGACAAACACACAAACTGAAGTTAAATCACTGTACAAAAATGGAAAAGACTTATGTAGCACAAAGCTGAAATAAATAGACCACCTGGAATGATAGAAATCAACTGCAAAACTCAAAGCTTGAGACAATAGCAACAGTTCTAGCAAGTCTTGGTTATCTCCTGAGACAGTTCTCAAGTCTGTAAAAGTGAAATTTAAAGGTAACTATGTGTAATGTTCTCTTGACATTTTCACATGCAAAGCCAATAAAACAAACGATGAAAAGCAGTTGTGTGTGTGTATGTGTGTGTACCTGCGATGGATGTCCAGCCACTACCCATTCCTCTCTAGACATCACCTGGTAGTCTGCAATGGCAGCCTTGCTGAGGCGTCGCAGTGAGGAGAACATAGCCTCCTCCACCTTGCAAAGCCAGTCTTCCACATTGCCTTGTGCCTTCAGACCTTTAGTCAAACCCACCTGCATTCAGACACAGAAGGACATGATCAGGGAAAGTTAAGGACATTAGTTCTTAAGGGTAAATGCTCTGTCAATTCGCACAGCCTTTATTAGCCTTTTCTAATAAAATGACAGCAAAGGTGATAACTAATAACCCCATGTGGTCATAACTGACAAGCCTTAAGTCTGAGCAATGAGTAATTGCCACTGCACTCAAAAATTGCTCATCATCCTTGTCCACAATTATACCACAGTGATTAATGTGGTATATTTACAACTCAGTAGAACTTGGTCCTCAGCTGGACACACAGAAACCTAAACTCATAAAAGCATAGCATCCACAGAGGACGAGACCACTAGCAAACAAAAATAGCTGGTCCAATTTTCTTATGTTTGTGACAAATTCTTAACAAATGTGTAGTTTCTAATTCAGGACTACATAATTCATTCCTTTTCTTAATCAGTGCAAAAGAGAATTTGGCATACTTGGAGATTTTGCATAATTTGAGAACGTTTCATTCTTGCACTCATTTAGGATTGCTAAGAAAGAAAAGAGTAGTGTCATTTAGGATGACTATTCTTATAGTTTATACGATAGGCACGGTAGCGCACTCTCTCATTCTCAGCACAGACTGAAACAAGAGAATAACAGGTAAGATAAAACACAGAGAGCATGATGGCCGGAGGTGTTAAGGTTACTCAAACCTGACCTTCTCTCCCTCAGGAGAAACCATGCTCAGGATGTCTTTGCTATAGACCACTTCCTGTTCTCCAGCTTCAAGCGCCATTCCCGTAGCACCAGAAGTTCGTTCGGGCAGCAAAGCGAACTCTAGACGCGTAATGGCGTCAAAACACTTCCTGAGGTGGGGC